GGGGGTGGCTGGGGGGTGTGAACCTTGTGTTCAAAACATGTTTGACATTTATGAACTGCCACAATATTTGAATCACAGATCTCTGATCCGACCTTGGAAATGTGTATATCAATTTAAGAATTATTACATTTTTTTCTCTCAGTTTTCAGTGATTTAAAGATCTGTTGACCAACATATTTTTTCTACTTTGTTCCAAATGGTTTTTGTTCCATGTGTTGAAATGGATGAAATGTGCCCACTTAAGTTCAACTGTTTTTCTCTTTTATTGCAGCATTCTGTCCATACCATATTGGTCATTTTACCATCATGGGGATTAAAGTCAATGAGTTGGTAAGTGGATAGAAAAGATAATAATTTTTTTAGCAGTTTATGATAATAAAACATTATAAGTTTTGTACAGGAATCGTTAACTTAATTTCTGCAAAGTAGTGTAAATTTTGTGCTGGAATTGTCTGACTTTTTCCTGACCGAAAAAAAAAAAGAAAAAAAAAAAACTAGATTTTGAACAAGGTTGAAATGTCATGCCTGTCAATGCCCTGTCATTACTCAAATACCACTGGAAAATTAGCAAGAAAATGGAGAAGATAAAGGGAAATGGTTTTTCCTGGAATTTACAATTATAGTTACTCTATTAGTGACTGTCACGACAGTCTGCACTGGTCCCACGCCAAGTTACATGAAAACCAAAGCTGAAGTGGTAAAATTTTGTAATTTTGTTCAGTTAGTGGGTGTTGTTTCTGTTTTGAACCAGTAGATTTTGAGACTCTGACATACTAAGGTGCCCATAGGTCAAAAAGCACAGACTGTTCTTCTTGTTCCAATTTGTGACATGGTCTCTCTTATGGAGCTGATAACTTTTAGTCAGATATACATCATTTATTGCTTCATTTGTGCAGGAACACATATAAATGATCAGATAAGTTGTAAAATGAAAGTAAGAATAAATAAATAATAAATAAATTAATTAATAATTAAATAAATACATAAATACCTTAAATAAATGGACATACCTACATGTACACATGAATATTTATGTATGAAAAAATTGTGCTGGTGCTTGTGTGCATGAGCACATTTTTGTGTGTGTTATAAAATTATGGATAAGACTCTAAGATGGGTCTGTCCTTTTTCAAACCATGGTTCTTTTTGTTCCTGAGGAACTGGATTTTTTGGGAGTTGTGCCACTATAATTACCGAGGAACTGGATTTTTTGGGAGTTGTGCCACTATAATTACCTGCCATGGTATTAAACCTGTGATATTACATGCATGCTTCGGAAATGAAAATCTTACAAGACCATGGTGGTGACCCTTTATATGATTGTGAGAATAAGAGGAAGTTTTGCAAAGACAGAGTTGGACAATGTCACTTTTTATGTCCATTCCAACTGGGAACAAGAGGCAATTCTATTCCAATTTTAAATCTTTGTTTTTTTCATAGGTCCAGGCTAGTCAATTTGAAGGTCTAGTCACCACTCTGACTGGATACACCGTGATTGCTCTCTCCCTAGTTGTACTTCACACCCTAGCAGCACTGGTGAAATTTAACAAGTAAGATTGCCTTGTTTCATGATTTATGTTACATTTTATGACAATAATTCTGATGAGGGCTTTTTTAAGATGTTGAAACTTATTTAAAAATTTAAAAACAGAAAAGTTTGTCTTAATGTGACAGTTTTCTGTTTTTTAATGATTAAGCTGATTCAAACGTTTTATGACTTTTTTCAAATTGTATATTTGTTTTCTTTTTATTATATGCACCTTTGTTTATAATAGTATTGTTATGCAGATAGCAATTTGAACTTTGTATTTTAGGCCTTGACATTTATCATCTTTTTTTTGCTAGATCAAAGCGTATCATCGGCCTGTGTTATTTGGTGGTAAAGGTGGCGTTACTGGTGGTGGTAGAGATTGGAATCTTTCCGCTGATATGTGGATGGTGGCTGGACATCTGCTCATTGGTCAGTTTGTATGGACCACGCCCCATTTATAATAATAATAATAATAATAATAATAATAATAATAATAATAATAGCAGCAGTAGTAGTTATAATTTTGTTGTATTGCAACTAAAAAGTTGCATGCTTCAGTTGCATTTATTTTTAACCTGTAATTCTTTGAGGACCTTTGAAACAGATCGATTCAAGAAAAAAAAAAAGAAAAAAAAATGATTGAAGGGCTCCAATAAGATTTTAAAATAACTTTTATTTATTTATAACAATTAACCAGTACATAGGTGACATTTTATGTGTTGTATTTGAAAAAAGACATTGTAATTTCTACAACTGTAACATATATCATTCACTTAAAGTTGGTGTCAAAGGGGTGGTTAAGAAATAATTAAAATGGCTCTTGCTGGAATTATAGCTATTCTCACTATATTGTGTGCCTTTGTTGTAGGCGATGTTTGATGCCACATTAAAAGACCGAGAAAAGAGTTTCAGTAACGCTCCCGGAACATCAATGTTTATTCACTGGCTAGTAGGGATGGTTTACGTCTTCTACTTCGCCTCCTTTATCTTGCTTCTGAGAGAAGTTCTGAGACCAGGAGTGCTCTGGTTTCTGAGAAACTTGAATGATCCTGAGTTTAACCCCATACAAGAGGTAAGTGGTGAGAGGAATTTTAGAAGAGAGTTATAAAACCTGCCAAGATTAAGTACAGAAATGTTACAAAGTATAAAAAGCAATTAATGATCTTGAGTTTAACCCCATACAAGAGGTTGGTGGGGGGATAGAGTAAGGACACCTGCCGACATTAAGCACGGAAATGTTATAAATTATAATTAGTAATGATTCAAAGTTTAGCCAGATACAAGAGGTAATTTGCCAGAAGAAAAGAGAGTCATTACACCTGCCAAGATTAAGCAAGGAAATGTTACAAATTATGATTAGCAATGATTGAGAGTTTAACCCAATATAATGGGTTAGTTGTGAGAGGAAAAGAGAGTCATTATACTTGCCAAGATTGGGTACAGAAATTTTACAAGAATTTAACCAGATACAAGAGGTAATTGGTGGGAGAGAAATAGAGTTAAGACACCTGCCAAGATTAAGCAAGGAAATGTTACAAATTATAATTAGCAATTATTCAAACTTTAACTCGATATAAAAGGTTAGTGGTGGGAGAAAAAAGGAGTCATTATACCCTCCATGATTAGGCTCAGAAATATAACAAATTATAATTATTGTATTTTGTACCTCCTCTGCCTCTGTCTATTAGAATTAAGGAACACCAAGCCTGTAGATTGTTATAGAAAATTGTCCAGGGAAAGGATGCACTTTATTAGTTCAGTCCTAAAGTTTTTATCTGTTGGTTAAATACATATAGTATGTAGCTGTCCAAACAGATATCTACTAGGGAAATTGTTTCCACTTCATTCCTTATTGAAGGTGTTTTGTTAGGTGCTGAAAAGTGGGAAACAAATAACTTATGTTTAGATATTAATGGGAAAAAAATACTATTGTTGTAATTTTGAGTGTATAATGCTACGCCAAAGAAATGAATTTTGATCCACAATAAGCATTATTTGGTATTAATTGCCAGTTAGGTTTCCCAGAGGTGTATAAATTCCTACTTGGTTACTATTGTTCTTTTCCTGGCTAACAGCTATATTTCAGCATGTTCTTGTGATTCATTGTAGATTGAAATGGAAAGATAAATATTCTCTTCCTGATGTTGTTACGACATGTCCTGAACTTCTTATTCATTGTCAACGTTGGAGGTTATTTTCTTTCATGATTTTTTTGTTTGTTTGTTAGAGCACGCTTGTTGACGTGCTGACAGTACAGTTATTTGGACATGGAGTTTTTCTAACCTAATCAGTTTTTTTTTTCATATTGTTTGCCAAGGAAGTTGTGGTATGAGAGTTAATAATTGTGGATAGAATTTTTTTTATTGTGGTCTGAACAGATGCTGTACATAATAGTACATTCATATTATATCTATAGACTTTGGTTGAATGATGACATTACAGACCAAAACTGATGCAAATATCAGAGGACACCAAATTATCTGGTATAAGCTCGAGCTTGAAAACAGCAGTGTGGTTTCTGGAAAATGACATTTTTAGACAAAGGAAATGACATTTTTAGACAAAATAAATTGTTTTCCTCAAGATGTTGGTTTTATAACTTATATAATTAGTTTATTTTTAGGCTTTTCTTAATACAGTAAAAATTTCAGACTTATTTTCTCTGCCAACAAATAAGGTGAAGGTTTTATCAGGTTTGGTTTTTCTTTTTGGTTTTTTATTTGTAAGTGACTAAGTCAACAAGATATCACAATTTTGATGAATGGACTGTTATTCAACTGAATCAAAGGTCTCTGAAGATATTCCTGGTTGTAGTTTTATTGCCTTTTTACCTTGCAAGGGCTTCTCTCAAGGAATACTCTACAAATGATTTATTCTTTCAAAGCTTTTAATTGAAACATATCTAAGTAAATTTTCTTATTTTTCTAGTTACAGTAATAGTTTCTGAAATTCATACAAATGTAATTAATAAATTTCCACAAAACAATATTGTTATAGAATTTCTTACACAATCTTGATGTTTTAAAAGTTTTGAAAAGTTAGTTTGCTGATGTAAAGTGCACTGAAATGAGGAACTAAACCTTGGCAAAGGGTCATTAAAACAACTGAGTTGTTTGGAATTTTGGAATACCTAAGGTAGTCAGTTATAAAAGGACATTATATCAGCCATGATAAAAATGTTTATGGTGAATAATTAATGAATTTTCTTTCCATTATTTTCCCCGGCTAGATGATCCACCTGCCAGTGTTGAGACACATGAGGAGGTTTTTGGCAAGCATGGTAAGTTTGTGGTTATATCCAAATAAAATTAATATGATTCCATGAATTTCTACTTTAACCATTTACCAAGTAAAGTTGAAGTTGTAAAGTAAAGAAATCTGAAAGTTTTTAACATTTACCATATCTTACCTTTTTGAAAACGTGCTTGAACCGTTTTTCTTTGTAGCTGACTATGACAAATCCTGGGTTAAGGACCAGTTTTTAACTAAGTTGTATTGTGAAATTAGACGTGTGCAATAATTGGGCTTCCTGATAAAAAATCCCATGTAATCAAGAGTGAATGCATGCTTTACATACAGTGTCTATTTGAATTTTTATTTGCCTGACTGAAGCATCATATTCAATTAAGACAAACTTTCATTGTAAGTTATTTTGCAACATTAAACCTTGCTTTACACCTTGTGGTGCCACTTTTTTCATTGGTTAAAAATCATTTTTAAAGAAACATTACACTTTTAACCTTTGAGGCATGGCATTTCACTTCTTCATCAAAAGGCCTTGATCACAATTTTACCATCTTTACACAAGAGGTGAAGAGAAAGCTATTTCACCTTACTTTGGTCTTGTCTTGCAGGTGATATTTGGTACCACAGTTCTCCTGATGCTGTGGCTCCCAGTTCAGTTGATCAAGAAAATGATCCCAGGATTTCTACCCTACCATATTATGTTATCAAGGTAACTGTATATGGGACCATTCACAATGAGTTATGTCCACCTAGCTAATACACACTAACTGTATCAGGGACCATTCACAATGAGTTATGTCCACCTAGCTAATACATGCTAACTGTATCAGGGACCATTCACAATGAGTTATGTCCACCTAGCTAATACACACTAACTGTATCAGGGACCATTCACATTGGGTTATGTTCACCTAGCTAATACACACAAACTGTATCTGGTCTTGCTGAATGCAATCAGATTTACAGACTGACCAATCTCATGTCATTGAGTAGAATATAGTAAAAACTGGTGATCATACTAGTACATTGGAAACGAGGAGGCACATTAGGCTTTTCGCATTATCTGAAGGCAAGAGTCCCCTTGGAGTTTGTGTGCATTATTTCTTCAACAGAATTCATTGTAAATGGTTCCTAGGAGAATTATCATGTCAACATATGTATTTTTAAATAAAACTTCAATTATACATGATACAAACTAGACAGTCACTCCAAGAGTACAGACCTCTGCTAAGGCAGTTCAGTTCTCATTATTAATAAATTAATTGATAAGTGGATCAGCACCAAAATCTTAGGTAGCCCATTTTGAACCATTCTGAAAATTTGACATAAATTTGGCTAGAACTATTGGAAATCTTGGAGCTTGTTTACTACCTTGGTAGCTGTAATAATGTATATTTTGCTTTCTTAAGCAACTGAAGTTACTGGTTAAAACAGCAATGATCAATAATCAGGCCTGTAGCCTGCAAATTCAAAAGGGGATTCTTTTTCTGAAAAAGTGGACCTTTTACAATGAAACTTATGTGTACCTAGATACAATTTTACCCAAAATGGACCTTTTCCTGACAAAAGGGGCGGATCTTTCGAACCTCCCGAACCCCCCTGGCTACGGGCCTGATAATAATAATAATAATAATAATAATACATGTGGCTAGTGTGATATCACTACTTTACCTCTGAGCCTTCATGTGTTCCAGTGATGCCCCAGTCAGTGAGTTGTCCCTGGAGCTCCTTCTCCTCCAGGTGGTGCTGCCAGCTCTCCTGGAGCAGGGTCACACCAGGACCTGGCTGAAGGGTCTGGTCAGGGGGTGGACAGTGGGCGTGGCCTGGCTGCTGGACCTCAAGTCTTATCTCCTGGGGGATTCACCAGAGGTAAGGTCAGGGGCCTGGGGCAAGAATAGTTTTTCAATATTTTGGGGCTCAGACTGATAGACATTGACTATGTTATAAAAGTAAGCTTTTGATTTTGGTTGAGAAGTCTTCTATGGACATTTAGCCCTCGGTAAGGGCAGTTGGTACTCTAATATGGACTGTTGTCATGACTGTGCCCTAGGAGCAGATAAAGGTGTCTTGAAAATAATTTCATTGAATGTAATATATATAATTGTGTGAAAAAATTGTATTGATCTATTTCTGTAGGACACTGATGGTGCAGAGAGAGTTGCTCCAAATATAATATTACCAGCACAGCCAGGTCAGCAGGGGGCAGCACAAGCTGTACAAGAGGAGCTGGGGAACCAGGGGGCAGCACAAGAGGCAGAGCACCAAGGAGGAGCAGAAGAAGCTGTAGATTTGCTTGGTCACCAGGGGGCAGCACTACAAGCTGTCAATTTGTTGGACCACCAGGAGGCAGCACAAAATGTTGAAGCCCCTGTTGGGGCAGTTCAACATGGTGCAGGTCACCAGGGGGCAGCACATGGGGCTGCTGGTCACCAGGGGGCAGTACATGGAGCTGCAGGTCACCAGGTGGCAGCACATGGGGCTGCAGGTCACCAGGGGGCAGCCCAAGCTGTTGGAAATTTGGGTGCAATTCATCAAGCATTACTGCATCAGGGAGGACCCTCAGGCTATCAGCCTTTTCACAAACCAAGTTTTTTCTTCATTAGGGTAAGAGCAACACTTGTTTCATAATTTTGTTTATTTGTACATATTTTCTCAAATGAAAATCAAGATAAAAAATCAGTTCGTGCATGTAGATAATTTGATTTCTGAACAACTAATTTTTCTTCTGCAGATGATGCTGTTGTTTGTCTTGATGTGGTCCACACTATTTCTTGCCAGCCTAGTCACCTTAATCTTGCCAGGTAAGTTAATTACTATTTCTTGCCAGCCTAGTCACCTTAATCTTGCCAGGTAAGTTAATTACTATTTCTTGCCGGCCTAGTCACCTTAATCTTGCCAGGTAAGTTAATTACTATTTCTTGCCAGCCTAGTCACCTTAATCTTGCCAGGTAAGTTAACTTTATAAATGAGCTGGTCATAGTAATCTTATAACCCCTTGCAGAATTTCATGGGAAAGTTTTAGGCCAAGGACTATAGGCCCAAAGTTTATTCGCACTTTAAGACTGAAATCTTTAGAAATGGAAACTTATACTACTGTGATTTATATTTATTTCTATGTCTGTCTTCTGATGTTTCTTGGGAATCATTCATCAAGCTTTTCTTTTACTGTAAATTGAAAATTTCAGTATTTTTTGGTTGCCTGCTGATGTTTCTTTGAATGGGGACCGTAAGGATCGATCTACCTGCTGTACTGTACACTCAACAGAAGTATAAATGAGTAAATTCATTGTGATTGATGTTTTCAGTGTTCTTTGGTCCCATGCTGATGTCTCTTTGGATGGGGTCTGTAAGGATCTACCTGTTGTACACATGCATGAAAACAAAATAAGTAATCAATGATTGATATTTTCAGTTTTCTTTGGTCGTATGCTGATGTCTCTCTGGATGGGGTCTGTAAGGATCCATGAGCTGTACACTGCGGCCTGTGGACTGTATGTCTGCTGGGTGGTGCTGAGACTGGGAGCTGTTCTCTACCAGTGGATACCACAGGGCTGGGCAGCCATTATGACCAAGGTGAAGGAGTGGACGCTACTGGTGAGTGGACACTGGGTAGTTTGGGGAATGGAGGGGGTATAATTGTGGATTTCCAAAATGTCAACATCTCAATAAGGAAGTTGTCTAACTTATGAATGCACACAATTTAAAATCTTCATCAGTTCAAACCAAGGCAATCCTCCCTTGAGAATTGTGTTTTATAGAGAGCTTGACAAGTTAAAAATGTTTAAATTACGCCACAGCTTTCTCAAACAATTGATATCCCCCAAAAAACGAGCATCCTTCCCATCACATGATCAGATAGACTAGACTATCCGGACAATTCCAAGTAGCTGTTACCATCAGTAATTTTCATTTGTCGTTGCAGGCCCTGAAGTCTCTCATGATAGCATTCCTGCTGATAGGGGTGGCGCCACTGTTACTGGGGCTGTTGTTTGAGTTGGTGGTGGTGGCGCCACTGAGGGTACCATTGAACCAAACCCCAGTCTTCTTTCCTTGGCAGGTAAGGGTGTACGGTAATTACTCTAGCTTTAAAATGGGACAAAAATTATCAATATTTCCAACACAATTTTTGTAATAGGATAAATAGTAAAGAAAAAAACATTCCTGTGTATCATTTGTGGTGCTTTTTTGTAAAGAATGGAAGTATAAAGTAGCCTACTTTTCATTTTCGTTGCTAACGTTCAATGAGAATGCCCTACTTTTAAGAATGCACTATGCCTTAAAAGGTGCAGTATCTCACAAATTCACAATTTTCCCCATTGAAAGAGTGATTCTATGAGAATGCCCTACTTTTAAGAATGCACTATGCCTTAAAAGGTGCAGTATCTCACAAATTCACAATTTTCCCCATTGAAAGAGTGATTCGTTTTCATAGTTTTTATCTTATTCATTCATATATATCCAATGCCAAAATATATGAGAGGATGAAACAGTAAGACAAATACAAAAGATAACAATAAAAAAGCAAGAATCATGAAACTTTGAATTTTGACTTCTCGTATATTATCCACCATATTTTAACTAGATGTAATTCTTTATTTCTGCAGGAAGTTTCATGGAATTATATTCAGTTTGGTTAATTATAGATTTTAAAGTACTAAAAGGTTGACTGCAGTCCTTTTTATTCTCCTTACAACATTTGCTTACATTTCATTTTTCACAGTGCTTAGATAGCATAGTGTTTAAAAGGGGAAATATTAATATCATTTGTAAGAAAATGCATACAAAATTAATACTTTTCAGTTTAGTAATTGAAAAGTAAGTTTATCCTGTGTCCTTTGCCTACGTTACCCTCTTTCACTCCAGGATTGGGCTCTAGGAGTTCTTCATGCTAAAATCATCTGTGCCGTGACCATGATGGGTCCACAGTGGTGGCTCAAAAATGTCATGGAACGGGTAAGTTCTGACTGGCATTTTGATATTGGGGTTGTCAAATTTCATCTGGAAGGTGTGTGTTGGGGGAGGGGGGGGGAGGGATTCACATGCTAAACGAGTTGTAAATCACAGAACAAAATTTTAACCAGCTATGTTTGTGTTTCTGCATACAATCATATGATTCCCAGACCAGTTCAACTTAAAGATTATAAATTTAAAATAATCCATATTAGACATGTGTTTGATATGTTTTGGACTACATGTATACCCAAGTCAGCTCAATTACTGTAAAATGATGATAGAAACTCTGTTCCATTAATTTCACCATCTGGTACATATACAATGAAAACACAGCTTATTGTAGTCCAATTTCTTTCCCCAGGTGTATAACGATGGCCTGCGTAATATGAATCTCACCTTCATTCTCACCAATCTGTGTATCCCAGTGATAGGCTGCCTCAGTATGTCACTGGCAGCACCCTATGTTGTAGCTAAAAGTATTGTGCCAATGTTTGGTGAGTATAAAGGCATTCTATACACATATTTTGAAAAAAATCTTTTGGTTTTATTCCAGTGTTTAAATGCTCAGTGTGTGGTTTTAAAGGATTAATACGGGGTCTTGATTTATTAATTTTAAACTTTTTAAAATGAATTATATTGTTTTTCTTTAATGAGACTGAAAAATTGTTTTATTACTGATGCTTCCTATCACATTGCCTTTAATATAGTGTGTCACTGGAGTGGAATTTCTATTTTTTTTCTTTGGTGTGTTATGTACAAATGTCATAGGGCTTATAAATATTTCTTTATATATTTTCTATTCATTCACTTTCTACGTATTTTCAGGGGTGGACTTTGAGACAGAGAACCTAGTCTACAGGAGAATCTATCCTTCCCTCCTGACCTTGTTGACCTTTGTAGGGTTTTGCACCATGCAGGTGAAGCAGTTCAGAAAACTTTACGAACACATCAAGAATGACAAGTAAGACAGCTCTGTCTGTGTCTTGAATCATTAAATTATGGCTCTTTCCTGGTTCAGGTTCAACTCAAGAGGTCTGGGAAACGGGAAGACAAAAGTGTTACAGATTTCTTAACCTCTTGTAGTCTAATTTAATTCACAAAAATGCATCAGTTGACAGCGTTATGTGATTGGCTTGGTTTGAATACAAGGGTTTCATATTTTGAGCATACAATTTAAAATCCTGCAACATGTGCATTTCATTAAGGCAGAGCTAAAAAAATGGTCTAGTACTTACAAATAATCAATCATTGGTTTAGTAATCATGTTTTATTTTATTTTTTTTTCACCAAGGTACCTGGTTGGTCAGCGTCTGGTGAATTACACAAGACCAGAAAGTTAAGGAGTTTTCACACAGGGACCCTATGTCACAGGAGATCTTCAGCCCAAAGATTGTGATTTAACTTTTCAGACTTTCACACTTTTAGACCAACATTTCAGTCAACTTTTTTGCAAGGTGAATCAATGGAAGGCCAAACAGATGAAAACACCGATTGCTCTCAAGCAAGATGCACATGGCTATGACTTCATACCAGTGCATCTTTCACTTTCCATTTATCTTAATCTGAAGCAGACCAAATCTTTGAACTAAAGGTTTAGTGCTATTTTTGGGCTAAAATGTTTTGTTAAATGGACCCCAGGGAAATCAAGACATGACCAGGGAGTATGGAGTTGTGGTGAGAATTGCTGTGAGCTTCGGTGCAGCAGATTTGTGAAGTAATGGACTGCTTGTGTGTTTAATCAATAAAAAACAGTTGACATTCACAGTGTAAAACCAAACAAACAAACATTGAATCTGTTAATAGTTACATTGAAAAATGAGATTAATCCTTTTCTGGCATTTTGGAATCCTGGTTTAAATTTATCTTAATCTCAACTAGACTGAAGTAAAGAGATTGCAGACTGCTTCATATGTGAGCATGTCTAATTGAGATTCTAAGAAAAATGTGTAGGTCTTATTTTTATGAATAACTTGTAATTACATATAATATGGATGCTCTGACACAAAGGATGTACATAGTTTGAATATATGGTCAACAGGAAGTTGAATGACTTCAAGATTTAAAAAAGAAAAAAAAATGTAATAAGACATTCCCCTACATTTTGTCAATCACCTCAGATTATTTTGTCACTTTGACTTTGGATATTTCACTTAAGGTATTCATCCATTAGTCTTTTGTTGTCTTTATGCCTTTGGGTGTGTCAAATGTCAAACATTTTTGCTGGCTTAGCTTTGTTTTTGCTGTATAAGCTTCGTAATGTATGATGATATCATAGTTTTAATATTAAGTTATCCAAATTGAATGCTGGGAAAAATGTTTCCATTAGAATGGCAAAGGGTTTGCAAATTTTTTTTTCACCTACAATTCCAATCTGTTGTTAAGGAGGGTCTTCCTGTAATTTAGTTCTGTTTATTTAGGAATATGCGTAATTGGTGTTTGGTATTATCTCACTGCTGTGCCAAACCTGGCCTTTGGTACCAACCAAAAAGGTGGCTATGCCTCTCTGATTCTCTAGTCTTAATTCCGCAGAGGATAAAAGCTTGTACATAAGTCCTCTTCTGTATGTAACCATGTATATTGTTTGTTGTGTGCAATATGCCTTGTTTATTCTGTGGTGGGAGGAGGGGGAGGGGGGGGGGAGGGGGATATCACAGGGTGGGCTTGATTACAATACCCCTCTGCCATTGTCACAAGATATCATCTTCACCCTGAGGTTCTTATGATATTTTTAGACCTGGTGGTATTTTTCTTTAAAAAGAGAAACATCGGTTTTGAAACCTCAGTTGAAGAGGGAACAATGAGCTCCCTTCCCCCCCCCCCCCCCCCCCCCGTAGCTGCTTCTGACCTCCAGTTGAAAATTTATAACTGACGAGTTGAAGTTGAACAGAAAAAGGGTTGCAAGATAATAAAAATAATAATTGGAAAATTTTTGAAGGCTGAAGCAGTCCCTGGTGCTAAGTGTATTTATTTACTTATTGTGAGACTTGCATAGAAAATTGTAATATGGACGTGAAACACTTGCTTAGAAACCAACTAGACATGACTACCATCTTATCTCATGACCAGGTCTGTTCACTTACTGTTCACTACTAGGTTTATTTTACTGTAAGTAAGTAATGTATGAAGCTTTTGGAATTTTAGTTGGGGAAATAAGTTTTAGTATTTGAAATAGTTATTGTCACGGCTGGTAAGTTTCCATGGTAGACAAAGGAATGCATGTGTCTGTAAGATTTCTCAGCTAATAATGTTTCCTGTTGTCTTCAGTGTTAGAATATTTGAAGTGCAGACAACTGAGTTTTTTTTGTCTATATAGAATCTGGTATATGTCGTCATGTATCCTCTTTTTAATTATGCACGTGCAGCTGGTGAAATTGTTTCCAATCAATTTTTCCTGGTGGTTTTCCAAGGATACAGGCCACAAAACTCTCCAGCCTTGACTCGAGTCTGTCGAGTGGTTTTCAATTGTGGTATTTTTCCACAAAATAATGAGAAATTTCTCCTGGCACAGGGGGATTCAAGTTCACAGATGAATATCGATATAACTCCTTGAGTTGGACACTTCTTCCAGCCGAAGGATTTCCCCGCAAATTATAGGGTTTGTAGACCTTGGCAACTTGAGTTGAATTTAAGTTTGTGTGCAGTTGAGATTTAGCTTACCTGAAGCTGATTATGGATCAATTAGGGACAAATTTTACCCTAATCTTTTCCTTCACAAACCTTCACGAATGAGAATAATTAGTCGACTACATGGACCAATAGACAAGTTGTAAAAATGATACTTCACCAAAAAAGAAAAAGTTCAGCAATATCTCTATGTAGAAAAATTGATAGCATTGAATGTTTTGTGCTAATATTTAGTTATTTTAACTTTGTCTTGTATATAGTTTGTATATATATATATATATAGTATTGTCATCACGTTTGTTATGTTTGACTCGGTTTCAGTATTTCAAAAGTAAAGAAAAAGAAGGGAAAAGCACTCGGCAGCGCTGAAAAATTGCAGTCACGTGTTTGATTGACAAAAACTGGAACTGCTAGCATTGCATTAGTACCCTTTATTTAATAGTCGTAATGGAAATTATTAAGTTGTACACGTCCATTATAAAACGTAATTTATTTGAGGCAGAATGAAGGAGAAGCGTTTCTGTCGCTGCTGTTTTTTTTTGTCCAAAATTAGTAAAAATTGCTACATTTTGCATAATAATAATAATAATAGGATAAATTATTGTCTTTGACACAAAGAGAAACACTGGAGCAAAAGATGCATGGAAAAACTCACATTGTGCAATTCTATTGTCATGAATGTAATGAAGAACAATAAAAAATCTCTGAAAACTTTGATGTTGCTTAATGTCAAAGTAATCGAAAGCGCAAATTAATTATAGATGCTGCGCTGGCGACTTTATGCCGGGAACAGTAACAATAATTGTAGCAGAATTAGCAAAATGAGACGAAACTAAGCTTTTTCTTTCATCCGAGTGTTAAACATGGTAAGATTGTTCTAATCCCCCGTTTTCACCTGAGTGGACATTCTTATCCCCGTGTAACCCCCACCCGACCCCAGGCCAACCCCTTTCATCCTCCTGTTACCTGGACTTTAACGGAAATACTTAGAAAAGAGAAAAGATACGTTTCTCGGCAGGGATCCGTGGCCTTTGCTTCATTTCGTGGAAAAGAAAGAAACGTGAGCTGTATTGTATTCAAAGGAAATCTGAATCTGCGTCGAACGCTGTGCACGGTTTATTATCTACTTAAACCATTGGTTACACAGCTGGCTGTTCTACATCTGATCACTGGGGACTATTATGAGCAGGTCACAGCTTTTAACTTTGACATATGTGGTACGGGATGCGGTAAATAAATAAGCAAATGAATAAAAAGAAGAATAAATTAATTTAAAAAAAAGATGATTCGTTTAACTTTTTGTGAGAGGGAGAAATTAGGGTGGAGTCGGGGGAAGGGGGGGGGGGGACACGCACCCGCTGTGACGTCCCTTGGATTTGTAATTCCTCGTCTCAACCTCTTCCGCATAAAATGCTAACTTGTATTAGTATTGATTAATTTGTTTCTGCGATCGACTCCACGTGCGGCCGCTTACGTGTAGGCATGACACTTCCGCTGTTTCTAGTAAATTATTATCACATCATGCCGTTCCTGTGACGGTTTTCTGAACAAGTGTGGTCGATTCCGCTACGAACCATCTCTTTATTCGCTGTAGGTTTTATGTGCAGCGCTGTTATGAAACGGGTGTCTGTAAACCGCTCTTTCTCTCTCTCTCTCTCTCTCTCTCTCTCTCTCTCTCTCAACGTAAAATCGTACCGTTGAGGAAGCGATTACTCATATTGCACAGAGCGCGCGTTTTGTCACAAGAGGCACACGCTTAACGTTTCCTTATTTCAGCTATGTGAAATACTATGGGTTTGTTTTGAACTGAAGTGGACCGCATTTTGATCTAAAAGTTTCGACTCATTTCCGAGCTGTCTTTGTAACGAGCCGGACACCTACATATAGCAATTTCCTGTCCATAATATTAGCAGCTCGGTATCTAATTGTTGTTGCTCGTATTTTATAAATATAGATAAGCCATGGGGATGGAGCTCTAGGCTTCTAAGTTTCAAGTTATTTACGAAGTCTGGACAAAGGCCAGTGATTTTAACTCGCACAGGTAAAAATAGAAATATATATGCTTAAGAATTATTGCCAAGCACGAGAGAAAAAAGTTCTAAAATGTCAATCAGCCTGACATTCAATTAACCCGAACTTATTTTTAGATAATAAATATAAATAATATCGTGTAGTCAAATGTTGTTCACGTGTGTTAATAATGACAAATTGTTACTAAGCAGAGGCGGTAATTATAATTAAGACAGTTAGCAGTACAGGCGACCTGCAATCACCTTAGAAGTCTGCCATTATGCGATTATGCATATACAGTTTTGCAAAAAAAAAAAAAAAAAAAAAAAATTGGGGTACCTTTTAAAATGTGTGACTGTCAAATCAATCATAATGACCATTCATTTTAGGAGTACAGGTAAAAGTGATGCAAAACAAAATCGTTATTCTTTAAAGATGCCATCTAACTCGTAAACAACCCAAAAGCGTCCAGATGTGACCCGGCTCTTGTTGAGCGAGCAAGGGACGCGATAGCCAGGGAGTTTCTTTCAAAAGTGAAAACAATTCGAGAAATTTGAGGTATACAAACTTTTCTCTGTTACAGTGTAGTTAAGGCAGACGTTTTCATAAGGCCAAGAAGAGACATGTAAGAAGAGTGACGTTCATGTAGTTCGATAAATAGTAAAATACAAAAATCAGAGAATAATTTGTGCTTTTGGTTCAGTTAGTGATTTTAAAACTGTTTAGTGCAGTTTATTAAGAGTACACATGTCAAATTTGGAAGAGAATCGATCCAAAACGGAACTGAACTCGGGTATTTTCAGACTGGAATAGACAGAGGCAACCATTGCGCACTCCTCCCTCCCCCAGGCCATCGTTTGACACATTTCCCGGCTATTAATAAATAACTAAACCAGGAACCGCCTGTCCCCCCCCCCACTCACAACCCTCTCTCCCAAAGAGAACACAAAACGAGGAGTAGCCCTGTATCTTTTAATAAAAAAAAAGAAAACACATATATACTGTACACAAAACCCAAAATACAATAGTCAATAATTTGGGCGACTCTGAACCGAGCGATGGCTGCAAACGTTCTATTTATATGAAATGATCTCGTTTGATAAGTCAATGCAATTACCTGGAAATGTGCCTAACAACACAGGCATTTGAAAAAACAAAAATAAACGTACATCACACATTAAAATATCAAATTGACTAATAACTGGTTCTTATTAACAATGTGAGTAACTCTTTACTAAGTGTGTAAATCAATCAATAAATGATAGATAAAAATCAGGAAACAATAATATATTGCTGATCAGAAGAATTCATTTTTGATCGGTAAGTCTTATTCAATTGGAGCGGTTAAAAGAAAAAAAACAAAAACAACCTGATATTACAAAATAATCACACCTACTTGTTAAGGACCTATCATCTATTTGAACAAAATTGGACCAAGTATAGCAAACTAATTGACATGTCCATTTTAATTCACAGCTTTTTATACAGCATGGATGGAATATCTAAATTCAAAATACAATACTAGTACTTTAAGTTACGAAATGAACGTTATAATTTAATATTGAAAACAAAAATTGATTTTTTCCCGAAGAGTTTATCCTCTTTACTTAAATACCAGTGTATAGCATGACCAAAAAAGTTTTCAAAGGTTCTGTCTATAGATGGGTTTTTGACATCTGAGTTAACATTTTTGAGTCACTCTCATAATGTAAAAGTAGGTAGCCGGTGAGTTTCACCCGTGAGAAACAAAGAGCTCGAAATCTGGTTTATATAGATCGTAATTTTCACAACAGTTTTACACAGGGAAATGTTAACATCTACCAAAAAGTAATAATAAAATAATTTTTTCTTCAATCAACAGCTAATATTGAAATTGTTTACCTGTAATATTCCGATGCCTGTCTAGGGCATCTTCATCAGGCAAAGGCTGCCATCCAGGTAAATAGCCTCTATTCAGGAAACACACTTAACCAACAATAAATGCTGTCAATATACAAGTTTTAGTGAACGTCTTAAATATTTGGCGTGATGGTCACTTGCCGTATTCATGGAGAGGACTTCGTAGAGCTCGTCGTACTTCTGGTGCGACCCCAAATGTTGACTTGCTGCTCGCGGACGTTAAAACTTGTCGTTCGGAACGACTTAAAACTGGTCAAAGTCTGGTCATTTCTGCGTTGCCTTGCTGGCGTACATCTGGTCCAGGTTCGTAGGAACGCCTTCCTGAACTCTCTGGAGACGAAATTATAGATGATGGGGTTAATGCACGAGTTGGCATAGCCCATAAAAAGGGACACTATAGATGCCACGACCCAGGCGTGTGTTGCCATCCCGTGTAACCAGAGCGACTTTAGAATAATAATCACGTGAAACGGACCCCAACAGACCACAAAAATTGCGGTGACGGTGACGACGAGAACAATAAGGCGCCGATTGTAGCCAGCGGAGGAAAGGCTCTTGTTCTCTGGGACAGGTCGGTTCTGCCTCAGTTGGTACACGATGATTGCGGTGGCCACGGCCGTGATGGTGAGGGGCAGAATGAAGTCGACGCCGCTAAAGACGGACAGGAGGAGGTAGAACTGGAAGTCGGTTTCTGGAACCGGCGCACACTGGGCCACCTCCCTGTGGTACATGGCGACAGGGACGTTAGAGGCAAGCATGAGGAGCCAAATCAAGAAGCTGACGCAGGCCGCGTGTCTTCTCTTCAGATACTTGGACGCCCTGATAGGGGAAACGATCGCACGGCACCGGAACACGCAGATTGCCGCCAATGAGTAGGCGCTGACAGCCATGGTCACGAAGGTGGTGTATTTCAACATCTTGCAGAGGCCGTCCCCTAGTTGTAGTTCCCATTGGGAGACGTTCACCGCTGTCTCTAATGGGACAACGAAGAGCAAGAAAAGAAGATCTGCAACTGCCAGATTGAGGAATAGCATGTTAGGGCATGTTCGGAGGCTCTTATTAGCCAAAATGACGTATAGAACGAGAGAGTTCCCTAAGACTCCGACCAGGAGAACAATAACGTAACAAATTGGGAGCACCACTGAGGCCGTGTCTTTAAGTGTTTGGAAAAAGGGGTCCACTGCAATGGTGAAGTTTTCTGATGAAGATGATGTGTTACCTGCATAACTTACGTTGTCTCCTAAGATGTACAATGGGCCGTTATCTCGGTGGTCCAAGAAGACGGAAGGTGCAATAGTTTGTATGTAACTCCTATTGTCATCCATATTCTGCATTAAATATCACGTATAGCTGTTCTGAATTTCTATGTATAATAATATCAATGGTATTTCAAGCCGAGCTTCCATGCCATGAGAAGTATAGTTCATATGTCATTCTGATCACGAAGAAAAAAAATCCTGTGATCTGCAAACCTTTCCTCACTTGTGGTTCTTGCTATGTTGCCAGCAGTTCTGAACGTGCTGAGGATAAAGCATTGTTATAAAACCTCGTCATTTGAAGACCTTGACTCCAGATAACCTGTGGCCTTCCCAGTCGGATGTGAACGCTGTTTTCTTGGTACTGAGCCTTAAAGGTATTGACACGAGTTGTGCAAAGTCGTTCATTCTAGAAACGAAGCAGACGCTTAATTAGGCGCCGTACTTTCCCTATTACGTCAGCATGATAAAGATGACATTCTGGTGGGCAGAGAAAACGTATGAACAGTGTTTCTGTAGTTGCTTTCAAGTATATTGCCAAGATGTGGCAGCATTGTTAACCTTTTAGGCCAATTTACTTGATTTTCTATCCTTTATATTGAAAAATTACTTATAATACTGAACTTACGTAACAATGTCAGATAATTGTATCGTTTAATAACAGAACCCACCCCCTCTGGAAAATTTAATTTACAAATATATTTAAAGATATCAGCATTTGAAACACTTACAAGGTAGTGACTGTATATATTTGTTAACTGTTAACCCTAAAAATTAAGAACAATTATGCAAAGATTTGATGTGTGGAAATTATGAACATAAATAACAGTCTTTGTTTTTAAAGTATGCAATAAAGTGTGAATAGGGATCTCACGTGACATCACGTACATGAGCCGTCACACGAGAACAGCAAACTGGAGAATTAGTTTGCGATAAATGCATGCGTCTTCTTAGAAAGCGATCAGACGTGGTCACGCAAAACTTGATGTACTGGTAAACGCACTGATTAACCAAATACTAATTCTCCAGAACATTAGAGAAGATAACGAAAAAATTATCGGTGGATACATTTTGCCAGGTTTTATTCTATGCCACTCGACATTGCGTCATTTTTTTAAACCCCACTCTTCTTTAAATTCTTCGTAAACTTGCTTGATCTTTTGCTATTTCGTGAGAATCAGAATATTTCGAGTACTCCAAATAACGGGCGTATTGTGGTCACATTGAAGTCATTCATCCCTTGACCCAGCTGGAAAAAAAGTGGGTATCTTGAGGCTATAAACAAATAATGCACACTATCAAACTGTACAGAATCGTACTGCATGTTCCTTCCACACAAAATACTTATTCCTTGCACCTTCGAATAATCATCTACTAGGTAATATAAGCTAAAAATGCCTGACATAATAATAATAATAATAATAATAATAATAATAATAATAATAATAAAAGTTTATTGAGCAATACAATGTGTACAAATTACCTTCTCCAGGCTCTCTACTCTACAAACATGTATACGTTAAAAAATACATAATTAATAAAATAGGTGAGGACTGAGAAATAGCAGAGGTTAACTGTTGCTAGTGATGGGTATTTCTGTTATATCAATACGCTCTAAAGCATGAATCATTTTTTTAGATTGAGTATACAGTTAAGTTTACCAAGGTCCTTTCTGTGCTCATGAGGTATCATTTATCTATCTTTTTGGTCGCAATGCTTTTAACATTTTGATTTCAGTGCAGCTGGGGACACTTACCATCTTCCGTAGGGTTTTTGATTATGTATAGCGCCCCCTTTCAACTGCCAGACCATGATCACTGACAAGCATTTTCGTAATTTTATTTCAGATTGCAAGGCTTCATTGAGAGTTTTTTTAAGTAACCTGTGTGTCCCGATTTTATTTCAATGTGTCACTTTTCAAGCCTTTCCAAAAAGGGTCCTCAGTCTTCATACTGTTACTAGCATCTTTCAGGTGTTCAAAAGTTCGGAAGTTTCGTTATTTTAGAGGGCGAACGGTGCCATTTGGTACGGTTTAGAACTATGATTCAGCTAGTCAAAATTCTCATTTCAAGAGGAGGCAGTTGGATTTTCAGAAATCGAAGGGGGGGGGGGGGGGTCATGACCCCCTGCCCATCCCCCCAAATCCGCCACTGCCAACATTGTATAAACATTTCGATTGATCTTGACCAACAGGTTCCTTTTTTCCTTTTGCTTCTGTTCATATACGTTTTTAACCAATCTGCCAGAGGGCAGTTCATTGGGAGTGTTGTTGTACCTCTGCGCCTATTTTACCACATCAGAGTAAAGAGAGAGTCTTCCAAATTCAGCTTTTCAAGCATTGTTCATAACGTTTTTTCTTACGCCTTGTTCCACCTTGCACATCTACTTGTTCGAAAGGCAATTTATTTAGTTTTGAAACAGTCGTCTGCTCATCATGAATATTTCTTCAGTCCATACTTCTCACCCAAACGGTAAGATGGGCTAGATGATTTTATCGAATAGTTTCAAGTGGAGTGAAGGAGGATGCTACCTTAAATTATTTGAGGACAGGGAAGATTTAAGAGCAAAGCTTGTTTTTTTCTTTAAATTTTCAATTGCTGTTTTTGTTGAACCAGTGTTTTTGCAGGTTAAGCCCAAATACATGTAATTGTACTTTTCCATTACGTCTAAAGAACGCTGTTCTCTAAATTAAGAAACGGAATAATCCAATGGAAGCTGTTTCCAGCTGGTGCAAATTGCCCGCGTCTCAACTATGTTTCTCATTGTCCCTGTTCTCGTTTTATCTTCTACCAGCTCATGTTAGAATGTTTTAGAATCGTCAGAATAACAGTGGGGTTGCCCGCAATGTAATTTCAAGGACATGTCCTTCAACGCACTTGCTGTAGCCTCGAAATAGAACCAATTCACTGTTTTTGTATCACTTTGATTAATTGCATCGTGTGTTATTCTTTCTACTTGGTGAATTCTTTTCTCTGTTTACCATATCAAATTGTTTTCTGAGAAATTTCAGCCTGAGACTTATGAACGTATTTTCCATTTCACAGGTGGTCGATCCTGGTTGTTGAATCAAGCGAAAAGATTAATTGGACACTTTAAATAGGGAACCATATGGGCAAGAGAAATGGCGTCTGCCTTATGTAATACTTTTTTTTTTGTTTCGTGCTTTAATAGGCAATCTGAAAAAATATACAGAGAGCTAAACAGCATTCAGAATGCTGAATGCTCATTATCAATCAATTGGTTAATAAATCGATTGATTTATTATCAGTAATGATTATTTATTGAAAAGTAACTTCCTTAATTTATCGCCACAAAAATCTGATCAATGATAAAATCATTGCTGACCTATCCTGATCAAAAGGAAAAAAAACAACAAAATTCGTTCATAACTTTTTGAGTTTGGCTAATTTTAAATTAACAAACTAATATTGTAAGAGGCGTCATTGACGGAGGTATTATATAAAATTAAAACTGAGAAGTGTCGTTAAGACGCAACGTAAATAGCTTTCATAGTGTCCTCACTCTAAACTATACATCCAATACTCGTTGGTTGCTCCAAGTGCCTGAATATAATTTATACAAAGATTCAACCGCTATGAATCAAAAGGATTATTTTTCCTTGTCATCTCGTTCTTATGTTTTCGTATCTGGAGAATAGTATTGTGAAGTAGGAAGCGTGTCTAGAAAACAAATAGAATGGTCTATTTTATTTTCTCACCTCTTGTTCAATACACAGAATACAATACAAAGCTACGGTACCTACAAAAGCATACAGACAATACATCATGGTGTTTTATATAAGTAGAAAAATACATTTGCTCAAGGACGCTGCCCGCACGCGCGCGCGCGCGCACACGCACACACACACACGGTGATATTAAACATGCTAAATGTAATATTATCTTATCAATATCACTAATTTAGTTTGGAAACCCAACATATACAATCTCTGAAGTTGATTTAGTAAAAATAAATGAATAAATTGCAGACAAACAAACATTGTATGAATAAATAGATAAATGAAGGCAAAAAGAAGAATGAACAGAAGAAATGTTAAAGAAAACAAACAATTAAAGAATGAATAAGTGAAAAAAATAATAACGACTCTTTCTTATTCAACATTGCGAACCTTCCAGCTCTTTGCCTGTGGCAATTTGTGTTTTGCTTTTTAATCAATAAACAGTGTGCCAAAATATTATACTGGTACTTCAGTCCTCGGGAACACACGTTGTCTTTAGATTGGCACGTTCTATAACATACTTGAATATAATTACCTTCACATTCAAGGAGTACCACGCTGCAGGAAGATTAAATGTTCCTCTCTACAGACTGTCGTCAAGAGATGGGCGCTCGCGTGGAAGATAGGGTCAAGAGTTCATACACACTTGTCACCAGTCTCCATTAAGCACTCAGAGAAGATAATTAATATTGAATGGGATTCTTCCTCCCGGTATAAGCTCGAGAATTAACACTTCAAAGCACGGGCACGAAAATTACATATTTCTTTTCAAAAGTGAATAATTGCAGCAATCTAATGACAGCTAATGTTAGTATACGAATATAGTATGCGATGTTAGTATACGAAATAAAAAAAAAAAAATTAAACAATAAGGAAATTGTGAGCTTGCCATCAATTTTTTAAAATTTCAATCAAGGGAAAGTACACATAAAAATTAACACTGCACAGGAGTTGCTGGGAGCAGGGTGGGGGCTGTTTTTAGAGGGAGGCACTAAATATACGTGACTCCTTTACCCTGTACGTTGTAAAAGAGTACCGCCACAGAAGGCACTGCATGCACCATTTCCTTAAAACGCTTGTTCAGTACTTTTTGTATCGGGGGAGGGGGGTGCATGGGGGATTGGGGCGGTGGGGGAGAGGAGTATGCACTAAGGGGCGGGGGGGGGGGGAGCATGAAACCACTGTGTTCATCTTCATAGTGCATAAATATCATTACATTTGCATAAATATCATAATCAGCCGCCGCAACTATTTGAAACGATCTGTTTCTTAGGGCAAGCTGAGGCAGACATTCTCGTGCTTATAATCTCAGCTCTTTACACACACAGCCTCACACTCAAACACAAACACACGCTCACGCTCGTACACATACACCCCTGCACACACACACACACACACACACACACACACACACACACACACAACAAATAAATAAATATTACGATATGTATAAAAAAATTAAGGAAGTTGAGTGTGTGTGTGTGGGGGGGGGGGGGCTCTAAGAGACACGTGAAAAGACACTTGAGGGATAAAACTCTCTCTCTCTCTCTCTCTCTCTCTCACACACACACGTGCGACGTTCATTGTAACCCATTTGAAAACTTAAAGAGTCTCCCCGTTACAATTTCCCGAATAGAAATAGCCAGTACTCATATAATTATAACAATGGCCACGTTCCAAAATGGCGGCCCCGTATTTCATTTCATCTGTGATAGTGATATTAATAAGAGCATTTCCATCAGAAGCATTTTCATGGCAGAAGCTTTTATCATGCACAAAAATCCAATTATCTGTTGGCGTCGGCAGGCATAGAGCAGACAGAAGGAATTGATAAACATAAGGATGTGCATTACTCTTAAACTGACGGTAAAGTATACAGCTCTCCATATACATTCCTATACTTGCAGGATCGACCTAACTCCGAGGCGATTCTCGCTAAATTGCATTCAGATTAAGCGGCTTAGATGTCTGGCACGCCTACTGTAGCTGCTAAACGATAGTTGATTACCCCCTAACAGCTTCAGGTGGCGTGTCAGACACCACAACCGCTTAAGCTGAATGTATCATGCACAAAAGCTAAATGTAATTTAGCGAGAAACCCCTCGGAGATGGGTCGATCCTGCTAGATTGTTCTAGGTATGGGAATGGAGTCAAAGACGCCGTTTTATTTATATATATATTTTTTTCATAAAATAAGGCTATTACACTGCCCCTGAATAATATCTGTTTTACCAGTTAAGAACACGGGTGAAATAAATGAATGATGATTTCCTTAAAGGAGGTGGTTATAGATAGCTGATTAGCCCAAGCCGTGCTTTTTAATAGCTTTGTCAGTGAACCGAGTGAACTGGAAAAGCTTTTCGTGATTTTTTAGATTTTTGTTAGAGCTAACATGAACAAAACTGACGGTCTCATGTTCGCTTTCATGTGGATATTGATAACCACAAGTCAAGTGTACAGATTACCTCACGAAAAACGTATTCTTTTACATTGTATTTTCTTACAGTGTGCAGGGGTGTGAAATGCTTAACCACAAGACACACACACAAATAGCTAAATGAAATAAGATAAATAAATAAATAAATAAATAAACAAACAAACAAACATACAACATTGGTCAAAAAGGTTGTCCCACCTTCAGTATCATGCACTTTTATTTATATATGATCACACCACAGGAGAAGATTTTTATGAATAGTGATTTTCATTCCAGATACCATAACTAACATGATTAGTGATACAGAAAATGCAAACTAGCGGTGAAGATATCAAAATTTAATACCTTTTATTCACATTTATTACATGTACCCCCTCAAATCCGACGTTTCATTGTGATTTTCACAGAGGTAAAGAAATGTCCATTAAATTGAAATGACACCACCAGATTTCACCAAATTTTCACACATTTAGCATTAGGGCGTGCTCGTTAAAGGCTCCTTGTCTAATAGCGTTTGTGTTTACCGCGTACTGTAATTACCTCCCGTAGGTGGCGCGGCTTGCCTTCAACAAGGGTAACAATTCTGTTTTATGGGATTTTGTCCCATTCTTCCGAAAGAGCTTGGGGGAGTTGGTCCAGACTATCAGGAGTTCCTTTGCATTGCATACTTCAATTAATGCCACAGATGTTTAGTAAGGTTAATAACAGGGCTCAAAGATGGTTGCTCCATCCTCTGAACATTGGGTTTCTGCAACAAATCACTCAGCAAACGAGAGTTGTGAGCAAGTGCATTTCCACGATGACGCCTGCAGTATCCCTGAAATCACCTCTTGCAAATGGAGTGAGATATTTGTTGAGAATGTTTCAGTGAATTGCCCCAGTATCGTTCTTTTCCGAAAAGAACAATGCTCTTAAACCATGGGCTTGGAATTCTCTCCAAACGTGGACTGACCTGACACCTCAGGTGATATTATCAGCACAAACCTACCAAAAGGCATTATGCAACATGTCTATGGGCCCTAATTTGACCATCAAAGGCATACAAGAGATACCTTGATTCTTGAGCAAAACCAACTTGTCCCTAGTGATGGTTGACCAAGTTCTGGTAGTTCTGGGGTCACTGAACCTAGCATTCTCAACTGATACCTCATGTGTTCTCATGTGGTGAGTGATTTGCTGCAGAAACCCAATGTTCTGAGGCTGGAGAAACCATCTTTGAATCCAGATAATAAACCTTCTGAGCACCCGTGGCATGAATTGAAGTGTGCAATCCAGAGGAGAACCAAACTCCAAATAATCCGGACCAATTCCGCCATGCTTTTTTAGGAAACATGGGGCAATATCCCACAAAACAGAATTGTTACCCTTGTTGAAGGCAATGGCACCGTCTACAGGAGATAATTACAGTACGTGGTAAACACACACGCTTATAGGTACGTGACCTTTAACGAGCACGCCCTAATGCTAAATGTGTGTAAATTTGGTGACATTTGGTGTTGTCATTTCAATTTAATGGGCATTTCTTTACCTCTGTGGAAATGACAGTGGAACATCGAATTTTAGGGGGTACATGTAATACATGTGAATAAATGGTATTAAATCTGGGTATCTTAACCGCTAGTTTGTATTTTCTGCACCACTAATCATGTTAGTTATGGTATCTGGAATGTTAATCACCATTCATAGCAATTAACTCCTGTGATGTGATCATTTATAAATAAAAGCACATGAAACCGGGGGTGGGACAACCTTTTTGACTAATGTTGTATATGTGCTCGTTAGAGGTCACGTGTCTAATAACGTATGTGTCTACCGCGTACTACAATTATCTCCTGTAGGCGGCTTGACAAGCCTTCACCACGGGTAACAACACTGTTTTGTGGGGTATTGTCCCATTCTTCTTGAAAAACTTGGCGGTGATGGTCCAGATTATTTGGGGATTAGCCTAAAGTACACTTTAGGCTCTAAATGAATGATGACAAGACATGTTAGAAAAATATGTAGAAAAGTTCTAATATCCGCTAATTTGAAGTGAATTTTATTATCAACCAGCCATCTAATAACCAACCACAAGAAAAACACCCTAAAGAATAATGATGTTTTAATTAAAATGTTGCTCACCTAAACGGAAATAAAGCTTTCAGTATGAAAATCAAAGCACAATTTTATTTTTGAAGTTCTCGGTAATAAGGTGCAGGTTTGTGAAACAGAATGAATATAATGTCTGATGAACTTCCTAGAAACTCTCTTCTACGTTAAATAAACTATTGATCAAATCAACCATAAAAGCACAACATCCTTTTATTGGTAGTTTAACATGAAGCCTGTTTAGTTCTTTTTTAAGGGGAAGAAAATGTTGAATGTGGTAGTTGCGACCGATCCGATCAGTCTACATTTATGTACGGTATCGATGCTTTTGGTGAAATGGGCTTCATACAAAAAAGTGAAATTTTTAACAATTTCCCCTTTATTGCCAAGGTGTATTTTAGATACTGCTGCCCAGAACATTGCATGATGTAAACTCGGTTTTGATTTTTTGTTTCTATTTTTACCGTTACAGTACTAATGGTATTCGATATCTCCATTCCCATTACGAAAAGGATCTGAACGGTTGAAAAAAGAACCCAAAAGCCGGTTTATCATTTTAAAATAATAAGTTGTGTTTGATATACCAATATTTAAGGTATTACAATTTTCAGGAAAATAAAGATTTTGATGCACTAATGTCTTACTAAAAGCTTATCGTCGGCAGTTGTATCGTTTTACATTATATGCCCCCGTCAATTACATGCGCATGTGCTGTATATTGCAGACTTTCCTTTTTATATAGTATTTATTGATAAAATAGTTATGTTAAAAGAATAATGTTTAATAATATTGACAAGATTGTTTCCTCTGCCATATCGACCTATTTGACACCATTATACATCATATTTCTCAAGGACGTAAGTGTCCAGTTTATTAAAAACAACAATAAAAATAGATATAACATACTGGGGCCATTCAGAATACACGATCCGAGTACTAACTGATCCGCCGACTATATATGGCCGAATCTACTTCAAAAGCGGTTCCGCTGATTCCCAGCGGTCTCCCCGCCTCCACACGCGCCATTTAACGGATGAAATCTCAACTCCGAGGTTTAATTAATTGCTAGGCTTCTGCAACGAATGGCCCCATAAACAATATTGATCAGTACAAATATTAACACACGGTAGGCAATCATTCACCCAGTTTATCAGATTAATGTTACATTTGATAAACAACAACGAATGGTTGCATGAGATAAAAATTTGGCAGGATTGGGGGGGGGGGAGAAGGGACCGTTTTTTGTCTCGCTTTGCCTAGCAAAAACAAAAAAGTAGCAGAAGAGAAAAAATCAGTAATAAGCAGGACACGGAAATAAAAAATGCACTGTTTTGTCTCATTTTGTATTATTTGCATTTTCAGGGTGAGAAATAAGGAGTTAAAACAGACGCTGGAGGGGTGCGCACGTGAGCGGCTGGGCTTAATTTGGAGGGGTCAAGTTGAAGGTAAACATGGCTTGTATCTATTAGATAAACGGCGTCAGGTGAACAAAAGCGAAACTATGTTAAATGCGTTTAAATTACCAGGCATAAAGCACAGAGAAGAAAGATAGAGAGAGAGAAAAAACACAGCTAAAGAGGTATGAGTCAGATTTTACAAAAATTGATGGTCGGTTGTTAATTAATGATTGCTACAATTGTTAGTTTGTTTTAACCAATACCTGAAGAACGAACGCAAGCTCAATTAAATGAAGTATTGCTCCAGTTATATGAAAGAGTAAACCATTGGCATTAATGTAGACAAATAGTTACCTGATGGAAGTGGTCAACCACTAGCTTATCCTGAAGTGAAGTGGAACTTTTATCCAGAAAAAGTTAATTCTCTGAACGAAAGCATAGTGAAGTCATAGAATGACTGAGTGTTACAAAAATTCGCTTCAATTTGATAAAAATTGAAAACTTTACCCTCAGCAAAATTTTAAGAATGAAAAAATCCTTTTTAAGGCAACATTCTCTATTAGATTGTTTATAGATCTATGTTTTTGTATTTAGTAAGAATTTGGTGATAATAGCCACTTACGTTGGAACATAAAATATTTTGAAATATCAAGCCGGATGCTCATAGGTTGTAGTATAAGTACCGAGTGAGAAGCGTTCACAGGTCTACCAATGAACACCTAACAACCTGTGGGCATTCACTTGTTTGTACTCACCTGTGGGCATTCACCTGTTTGTACTCACCTGTGGGCATTCACCTGTTTGTACTCACCTGTGGGCATTCACCTGTTTGTACTCACCTGTGGGCATTCACCTGTGGGTATTCAGCCTGATGGTGCTCCTAAGACAAGAGCGAAACGTAGCTGTTTCTTAAATGATTTATATTCCAATATAAGTGCTTATTATCTAAATCAAAACATAACTAAAACCTGCCACTGTTTCGTGAAAAATCGCCCTTCATACCTATGACAAAACGTCCGGAATGAAACTGCACCTGTCAAAAATTGACCCCTTTTACCTATGGCCAACTATCATTTAGGCTGTCTTCTGGGTCTTCCGGAAGACGGTCAGATTTTCAAGTTTTCATTGTCAGGAATCTAATTTTTTCTGTCGGAAGACGGTCAAAAATGGAGGATGGATCAACAAAGATAATTTGGAAGACTGTCAGAAAATATCTTTGGATCCGCCCCCTGATCAGGAATGTGACTTCATTTCTGTCTAGTTGAAGAAAAATAGCATTATTTCATTGTAAAAACTGTCCTCAAAAATTTAAAAAAAAAAAAGTTTCAACACTTCCGCCACTTTTCAGCGCCATACTGTTCTGGCCGTGTGTCGTTACGTCATGAGGTGTGCCAGGTGTTCCACTGATTGTGACAGTGAAGACAGCTATTGTAGGAGGTGTGGCTACAAGCTCCCCGGTACGTGATCTCAAAACGCGGGTAAAACCCTTGTTATCTATTCGTGACTTTAACAGTGCTTTCACTCTAGTTCGATGGCTCTGTCTTTATGAGCATTTGTCTATATTGAATGTCTTTTATGTGGGTTATTTTGAATGTTCTGCGTGTAAAATATTCGTCTATCCGCTTACTTAAAAGAAAAGAAACTCCCGAGGAACTTGGAGAATGGAAAATGCTGACAAGTTAAACATTTTAAATAAAATAAAAATTGAAAAAAAAAACGAGTTGTAGGGGGAGGCGTTGCCTTGCTCTCCCCTCCTCCTTACGGTCCCGAAATGTACATGTAAGCCTATAATAATCTTATTATTATTTTCATTATTATTTTCATTATAACTATTACTATTATTGTTATTATTATTATTATTATTATATACAGATAGAAATGTATATTCTTTATGAAGTAATTATTCATATCGTACTTTTCAACAACAGAGCAACGCTCCTTCGTTTATCAGAGCACCGTCAGTATGAGAATGTCGCAAGGAGCGTTCGTAAAGTCAACCACCGTCAAGATGACGTCATCAGGAGGAGGCAGTTTGGAGCAAAGAAGCACCACCATGATGAGTATTGGCACTTCCGGCAGACAGGCAGTACTTCCGGGACTCAGCGGTCGTCTGATGCTGCTGAATGTTGCCAATAATAATGATGATGATAGTGATTAATGATCGGCCATATATGTGCCATGGGGTGCTGATTTGCGCTATTCATTTCTGTTTATTTGGAAGTAAACTTTACCAATACACGAGGGGCATGCAGGCTGTCCCCAATTGTTGATGTATAATTGATGATAAGGAACAAATCAGGGAACAAGGTCCTGATATCATAATAATTGAAACTGTGATAAGAACTGATAAGTCAAACCCAATTTATGGTGTTATTAATGCAAAAGCTTTTAGTGTTAATTTCTTGCTTTGGGGAGGTATTTTCACTCTTACAATACACGATTGTATCCAGTTAAAGATATATATGTTTCACAAAGATATATACGTTTCATGAATTGCGTGACATTGTATTATTGTGAGTATTGAACCTTGATTGTGACTACATGTATCTCTTGCGAAAGATAAGTTTGTAATGATACATCGTTTGGTTATTGATATATAGCACGATGATACAGCGACACAGAGAAATCTTGCTGACATTTTGCGAAGATCACCATTGACCTATTGCGGATATTCCAATGGCTGCAACAGCAACAAACTGCTTTGTCGTCGTGATTATACTATGGCGAAAAAATAGGTTGTAAATTGAAGTAACATATAAAGATTGTGTGGCTTCCCAATAACACACATTATTTATCCACTTCTTCTAGTTTCTTATACTACACAATTAAAGTTAACCTGCCAAGGGATATAGCGAGTCTTCAAATCTTCGGTCGTAAATTTATCTACTTTTATCTGACTAATTTCTCTGTCCCTGTAACCTGCAGAACAGAAAGAAAACAGAAAGCATTCGTTCATATATCACTTTTCGGGTAATTTGAAAGTATTTTCTTTGATATTTCTCTAAGTTACACTATTTGAAATCATAGGGTGGCGTTTCATCGGCTTTTGTGGCAAAATGTGACTTCAATTGCATCTTTAAAGACTTTTTGGGCCTTTATCTTGTTACCGACACTTTATCATCTTAGTCGTAACATGTTTAATAAATAATCAAAGACATGTAGTGATTATAGCAGGATTTTGAATAAAGGAAAAATGTCATAACCGTCCTGCCCAGTCTTCTATGCCTTTTTTTTTAGATGATGCTTCTTTCGCGTAAAAATTGTATTCAAATCGTGCCTAAAGAAGATTAACGCGCCAGGGCATTCATAAGAAAAAATTACAGGAAATTCCAGTAATATTCTCCTTATCTTGAAGTTATACTCCATACAAAACCCTTAAACCATCAGTTTTCGAGTTTCTGTCAGTCTTCGTATTTTCATCGTTACTATTGAAATTAACTAGTTTCTACCCGATCTCCAGTACAAGAGTCTCAAAAACTAGAGACTTGTGACTTTAAAATGGTAATATGGACCACTACTTTGTGAACAGTTTTGGATTTAGTGTACATTAATCATTAAAGGGAATTTAAAACATTGAAAGTTTGAGGAAAACCTGTTTTTTTTTTGCCACACAAGGGTCTCACTCTCACTGTGCGTTTTTAAGAATGATTTTTAAAACGTGACTGTGGAAGTGCACTGGAAGTATACAATACTTTTTCATGCCAGAAATAAATCCCTGACCTTCATAGTTTCATTTATCGCAATCTACTGTAAATTGTGAAATACAAGATGTGGAGGTCTTGCCCTACGTTATGTATGTCGGTCTCAGAGTCTTGGTTTTTCTTGAACCTAAATTTAATCATGAGTTTAAGCTGAAGTTATTATGTAAATAGTATTAACTTATTAAATCATTGATTATGTTCTACGCTTGACATCTTCAAAAACACACAAAGTATATCATTAACGATGTAGTTGATTATTACCTATGGGGATATATGGCTTTGAGAGAGAGAGAGAGAGAGAGAGAGAGAGAGAGAGAGAGAGAGAAAGGGGGGAGGGGTAAATGAAATAAATCAGTAAGAATTACTTTATTAACTCAGAGAACAATGCCAAAAATACGCACAGTTCCTCTAAAGGTTGCATCGTAAGCTACTTATAAAAAGGTCACAGTACAACAAGTGAGCACTAACCAATTAGCGTGTTCACTCTCTGCACGACGCTGTCAGAAAACTAACCACATTCTTCATATTACAGCTCCGCCACAGTGTACACGCGGGTAGATAATATTTCAGGATTGTAAAATTCTCATGTATCCTAAGATTGATCGACGGAAATTTTTAAAGCACTCGAGTGTTTGACCTTTATATAAAAACAATTTAATTTACTTGGACATTCAGCTTTCTCCCCTGAATTACCAATTTGGACCGTATAAAAAAACGCTGACAATTTTACGATTCATGAGCCTGGCATTTGCGTTTTGCGTTTAAATAAATAAATAAACAATGAAAAAAAAAACAACATTTCAACCTACTATCGTAATGGAAATTGGGGCATCGCTGATAGCAGTTACAATTAGAAATCTCGACATCGAAATCAGTTAAATTAAATTTAATTATCTCCACGGTTGTAGATACGGTGTTCGTTTGTGATGAAGTGAAAAATTAATGAACTTTTTAGAGAAATTTATATACTGTATGTTTCGAAAAGAGGCTTAACGCGCTTTGTATGAGCTTAAGTTTCGTTAAGCCGCTCTTGCACCACCTTAAGTGAACCCCCTTTTACCTCTTAATCCAGTTACATGTTTACTTAGCGGCAAACTCAGATTCAACGGCAAGATACATTGCCAATTTTTGTCGCCTCGTTTTTCTCAATCACTAGCGAAAAGGAAAATCATTCACTGCGATACTTTCAGTTATGATTTCGCATTCTTTGATTTTTCCCATCGGCGGTTCCAGGGTGGAGGAAAAAAGCTCTTTATTGGTTGACTTCATATAAAAACAAAAGAAGAACTGAAAATGATGAATGCATTATTAAAAAAAAAGGTTACTTGCCGTATTCATGGAGAGGACTTCGTAGAGCTCGTCGTACTTCTGGTGCGACCCCAAATGTTGACTTGCTGCTTGCGGACGTTAAAACTTGTCGTTCGGAACGGTCAAATCAAACTGTGGTCACTTCTGCGTTGCGTTGCTGGCGTACATCTGGTCCAGGTTCGCAGGAACGCCTTCCTGAACTCTCTGGAGACGAAATTATAGATGATGGGGTTAATGCAAGAGTTGGCGTAGCCCATAAAAAGGGATACTATAGATGCCACGACCTATGGCGATAAATTTATATTCACACACACACACACACACACACACACACACACACACACACAGAGGTGGGAGGGGGGGGGGGTAAATGAATTAAATCAGTAAGAATTACTTTATTAACTCAGAGAGCAATGCCAAAGATAAGCATAGTTCCCCTGACGGTTGCATCGTAGGCTAGTAATAAAAAGGTCACAGTACCACAAGCGACCATCAACCAATTAGTGTGTTCACTTCCTGCACGACGCTGTCAGAAAACTAACCACATTCTTCATATTACAGCTCCGGCACAGTGTACACGCGGGTAGATAATATTTCAGGATTGTAAGATTCCCATGCATCCTAAAACTGATCGACGGAAATTTTAAAAGCACACGAGTGTTTGACCTTTATATACAAACAATTTAATTTGCTTGAACATTTAGCTTTTCCCCCTGAATTACCAATTTGCACCGTATAAAAAAAAAAAAAAAAAAAAAAAAAAAACGCTGACGAATTTACTATTCATGAGCCTGCACTTGCGTTCTGTGTCTAAAATAATAAATAATAATAAAAATAATAAACTTTTAAACCCACTATCTTAATGAAGATTGAGACAGCGTTGATAGCAGTTACTATTAGAAATTTCGACATCGAAATCGGTTTTATAGATTGTAAGTATCTCCACGGCGGTGTGTGTTAGTGACATGATGAAGAGAAAAATTAACGAACTTTTTAGAGAAATGAATTATACTGTATGTTCCGTAAAAAGCCTTAACGCGCTTTGTATGCGCTTAAGTTTCGTTAAGCCGCTCTTGCACCACCTTAAGTGAACCCCCTTTTACCTCTTAATCCAGTTACATGTTTACTTAGCGGCAAACTCAGATTCAAC